CAGCACCCCCCCACCTGAGCAGGCAAATCTTTTGGCTGCACAAACCTCCTCCCCACCTGGCCGGCCAGGCTCTTTGCCAGGTGCTACTCTGGATCCCCGTGGCCCTGGGAGGGGAGGAGAAGGGGGGGGTCCCTCCGAGTGGCCAGAGGGGAGGCGGCATTTGCGTGGGAGAGGCCTGTCCAATCCCAGGGCCCCCAGATATCTCCCAAGCCCGGCTGATCCTGCAGGAGAGATATAAATACGCCTCCTTCCCGGCTTGCCTGTTGCACTCCCTGGCTTCAGGCAACTGGCCCCCAGGAGCCGGGAAAGGAGCCCCGGCAGGTAAGTGGAGGGCTGTGTGGGATGGGGTGGAGGGGGGGGGTGTCACTGAAGCCAGGTGGGGTGGAGAGGGCTGGGGGAGCAAGAGCTGATAACATCTGGAGGGAAACACTTCATCTCTTGCCCACTGGTGATTTCTTCCATCTGAAGAGTTAATTTCTTCCACCTGAAGAGTGAACTTCAGCAAGAAAGCGCTTCTTCTCACTGAGTGCTCCTTACCAAGGATCAAGACCCTGTTTGCCTCTCAAGGGGAAAAAAAGCCAGGAATTATGGCTCCCCCCCCCCTTTCTCAAATCTCACTCCCTCTCTCAGAACTCAGTCACAGGCTTCGATCCCCATCCTCCATCTGTGTCTGTTGCAGGGCTCTCTTTCGGCTCCGCTCCTGCAGAGTGCAGGGGGTTGGACTAGATGACCTGCAAGGTCCCAGTTCCCCCTCTTAACATTCTATGATTCTGAGGGTGACTGACCCTCCCCTCACTCTCTCTCGCTGAGCGCTCTGGGGCCAAGAAGGCGTGATGGAAGCTGACTTCCAGCAATGCAAAAATGGAAGTGGGTTTTTTGCTGAAACAAATGGCCACATTGGGGGCCACTGAGGTCAGGTGGGGCTGGTGGCGCTTTTAGGGTGTTTCGTTTTCCCTGTGGGAACAACTTGCCTGGATTTGCGAGCCTCTCTAGACTTTCTTCTCTAGAGCGACTGCTGGGATTTCTAAATGAGAAGTTTCCGGGACTCAGAGTTGCCACAAAGCTGTACATCTATGCCTGGATTTGTTTTTAACATTAAGAGATGCGGAGATTGTGTGTAATTTTGGTAGGGAGGCCAGCATGGTGCAGTTGTTAGGGTTTCAATTAGGATCTGAGAGATTTGCGTTCACATCCCCACTGTGCCATGGAACATACTGGGTGAGCTTGGGCTGCTCTCTTTTTCTCTCAGCCTAACCTACCTCGCAGGGCTGTTGTGAGGACAGAGAGAAGTTGGAAAACGCGTATGTTACCTGAGCTCTAGATACACAATTTAGTGGTGAGGGGAAAGCATGCTCTGAGTGCAGAGTGTGTGTGTTGGGTGAAAGGCTGGGGGGAAAATAAAAAAGCAGGAAGAAGCTGTTTGCCTCCCATTCTCATCCCAGAACCTTTAAAAAATTCTAATAAAAATTGAAATTTTGGGTGAGCTGTAAAAAAAACAAAAACAAAAAAACCCTTGCTATGAAATATTCTGTCTTTTAGAATGAGTGTGATGCTTCTTAAGCCCAGGTTTTTTTCACAGAAAATGTGTAGCATGAAAAAAATTAAGGATTTTTTCAATTTTTCCAGTGGAAAAACTGGGAAATCTTGGGGGAGGGCTAAACAAAGTCACCTAATGAATTTTTTTTTCTTTTTATGTGAGAAAAACCTTGTTTACAATGCATTTCAAAATGTACAGCTTGAAAAAGACTAAGGATTTCCCCAGCTTTTCCACTGGAAAAATTGGGAAATTTGTAGCACTAAAAAAACCTCTTATTCAGTAGATATACACCTTTTTTTTTTGCTTATCTGTAAATTATATGTTTAAAGAGAATACATTATTAAATAGAACAAAGTTTGAGTCCAGTGGCACCCTTAAGACCAACAAAGTTTTCTTCTGGGTATAAGTTTATATCTAGAATATAAGTTTATATCTAGACTATAACTTTGTTGGTCTTAAAGAGAGATATATGTACTACAGTGGCATAGTTTGCAGCAGTATTGGGTATACTTTTAAATTTTTCTTATAGAAAATGAAGATACTTGTACTTCAACATTTCATAAATGTGTCAAATAGTACAATTTTATATGCTAAAGTTCGGGTAAATGATGCATTTTATGTTGTTAAACCAGTAAAAGTAATTTAGGTTTGATAGCAAAGTATTCCATATATTTCATATTTCCCCCAAATTTCTGTTCCCCTCCCTAAAATTTCCCCCATGGCTTAAACATTTCCAGAAGTTTTACATATCTTGCATGTGCATATGCATATGCACACTAAAGACATTAAACCATCTTCAGAAGCATTGTGTCCAGATCAAGGGAGGTGGTGGTTCCGCTCTATTCTGCTATGGTCAGGCCTCACCTGGAGTCCTGTGTTCAGTTTTGGGCACCACATTTGAGGAAGGATGTTGACAAGCTCGAGCGTGTCCAGAAGAGGGTGACCAGGATGGTGAGACGGTTGGAATCCAAGTCTTATGAGGAAAGGCTGAAAGAGTTGGGTCTGTTTAGCCTGGGAAAGAGAAGGCTTAGAGGGGACACGATTGCAGTCTTCAAATATCTGAAGGGCTGTCATGTAGAAGATGGAGCAGATCTATTCTCTCTTGCTCCGGATTGCAAGACTAGATCTCACGGGTGGAAATTACAAGGGAGTCGATACCGGCTAAATACCAGGAGAAACATCCTGACTGTAAGGGTGGTTGAACAGTGGAACAGACTGCCTCGGGAGGGGGTGGCTGCTCCTTTGCTGGACGCTTTCAAGCGGAGGCTGGATGACCATCTTTCAGGTATGTTGTAGGGCTCTCTTTCGGCTATGCTCCTGCAGAGTGCAGGGGGTTGGACTAGGTGACCTGCAAGGTCCCTTCCAACTCTTAACATTCTATGATTCATTATTGTTGTTGTTGATCTGAGGGTACAGCAGTCTTTGCTTCTGCCTCTGGGCGAAGATTCCCATCAGGCCCCTTGGGTTAACCACGTATGGTTTGAAGCCACTCCAGACCTCAGGATTTCCTCCGAAACTTTTGACCTTTGGGTGTATAAAAGAGCAAGAGCCCCATAGCATCTTAACGACTAACACAATTTGTGGCAGGATGAGAGCTTGCATGAGTCACTGCTCACTTCTAAGTGAGCAGTGAGCCATGAAAGCTCCTTCCCTGCCACAAATGTTGTCAGTCTTTAAGGTGCATGAAACAAAAATGCACTGTATAAATAACACAGACAAAAAAGCGCCCAAATAGTATACAAAAATAGTGAAAGACGTTTATATAACAAAGCGACACAATACTAGCAAAGGAATAACAAGAAACTACATGTGTAAGTAATTACATAAATATAATAAAAAAAAATGGAGCTGCGGTGGCTCAAGTGGTTAAGACACTGAACTGCAGGCTGTGGAAGGTCAGTAGTTCAGCAGTTCAAGACCCGGGTTGCCGCATGACGGAGTGAGCTCCCGTCTCTAGTTCCAGCTCCTGTCAACCTAGCAGTTCGAAAGCAAGAAATGGCAAGTAGATAAATAGGGACCACTTCGGTGGGAAGGTAACAGCGTTCCGTGTGCCTTGGTGTTTAGTCATGCCGGCCACATGACCACAGAAGCGTCTTCAGACAGCGCTGGCTCTTCAGCTTTGAAATGGAGATGAGCACCGCAACCCTAGAGTCAGACTCGACTGGCTTTCGAGCAAGGGAACCTTTACCTTTTTAATACAAAAATACAGAGTGTGCAGAAGAAACTGGCACAGAAGACACAGTGACGAAAACTCCGGATTTCAATCTTCGTTTCGATAGCTCTTCTTCAATAACTTCATTATACTACAATTACAATTAAGCCAAACAATTATTATTATGCATTATGATTGTAACCATACCCTAATCTTGAGAGGCAAAAATTTACCTTCATAAAGCATTCATAGTGTACAGAAGCCTTCAAAACAGGAATATATAGGCAAAATTTCCCAAAAGGGGGAAGGGAAGAATGCTCTCATAATATCATTGTTTTAAAAAGATATATTAATACATAATAATGCCATTAAAAGGTCATAATGCTCACCAATCCTTATATCAAAACAGTCAAAACCGGGCAACCGATCGGCAATAGAACTTATGCTTGTATTAACCTGGAAAATCTTTTTTGTTGTTGTTGTTGTTCAGTTGCACAGTCGAGTCCGACTCTTTGCGACCCCATGGACCAGATCCCACCAGGCCTTCCTGTCTTCCGTCGTCCTCTGAAGTTTGCTCAATTTCATGTTTGTTGCATCTATGACACTGTCTAACCATCTCATCCTTTGCCGTCCCCTTCGTCTTCTTTGACCTTCAGTCTTTCCCAGCATCACCCTGATGCTGGAAAATCTACAGTAACTAATATTCTTGTATTGTCGGCAAGCCTCAAGATGTGGTCAGCATCTCGAGGCTCATCTGTTAGGCATCATAGCAATCAGATTCTTAAAGCTATAAGAGACTAAAAGTCCAGACAAGATTTCTACTCATAAGTAACAGCTAAGTTCTAATGACTGGTTGAGGCCATAAGAGTGATAAGTCTTAAGCCGGAAAATCCGAAATTCTTCACGTTGTTGCAACCTTCTTTGAACATCTGTACAGGTATATTGGTGGGTCTTAAGCACTTCCAGTATCACAAATTGGAAATCATCAGGAGAATGTTGTTTGTCAATAAAATGCTGGACCAGGGGAGATTCTAAATGTGAATTTCTAATGCGAGACCTATGTCCAACAACACAGAGTGAGTCCGTACAATCAAGAGAATGGGACATTCAATAAACAATGTAATGGGGTCTGGGTTGTAGAAGCACCTGGGCGCCATCTTCACTGTTGCCATTCTGCTTCTGCCTTGACAGCGCAACGTCCTTCTTGTTTCGCAGAGCCTCTCTCCTGCAGCCTGGGTGTGGGCTCCTGCCTGGCCAGCTGGATCCTTCCGACCCTGCATGGCCTTCAGCCCCGGGCTGGCTGGTCCGAGCATGATCTTGCAGGTGATGGGGAAAGCCGCACCCCCAAGAGGGCCCGGTCCCAAGTGGCTGCTGGGCGTTTTGGTGTGGATCTCACTCTGGGAGACGCTGGCACTGACACGTGGGTAAGGATGCCCTCTCTGGTCTTTGTTCTGCCCTGGCTTCCCAACCACTGAGCCCCACTCATGGCTCACAGATAATCCCTCCTTCCTTCAGCGGAGCTTCGGGTGTGTCCCACGACGGCCGTTCAGCTGAGGGCCTTGCTGCACACGGCAGGTTCCTCACGTCCTTTCCAAGTCCTGTTGATCAGAGGTGGACTGCAAGTTCTGTGCTTGGAGCTTTTCCCCCTCTCCCAAAATTCTGAAGCTTGAGAGCATCCAATGGAGCTGATGGGCAGTAGACTCAGGATGGACAAAAGGAAATCCCTCTTGACACAGCAGATTATTACAATTTGGAATTCACTGCCAGAGGATGTAGTGATGGTCACAGGCTTAGAAGGCTATAAAAAGGAATGAGACAGATTCATGGAGAATAGGTCTATCACTGGCTGGTAGCCATGGTGACCAGAGGGAACCTCCACATTCAGAGGCAGTCTACCTCCGAATTCTAGTGCCAGGAGTCAACATCAGGGGAAGGCCTCGGGCTCTCTGACCTGTTGTTGTCTCTCCAGAGGAACTGGTTGATGACGGTGTTGAGACTGGAGGCTCGACTAGATGGACCACCCCTGGTCTGATCCTGCAAGGCTGTTTTTATGTTCTTGTGTTCTTAACTCCATCCTCAGGAGAATGGAAACCGATTTAGATCAAGACCGAAGTGTATGGGAGAGAAGTCTTAAGCTTTGTCCTGAGAGCATTTTATTGACCTGAATCAGCCCCAGTGGAGCTATTTGCCAGCACATGTTGTTTCTGCAGCATGGCAAAATAGCAAAAAAAACCCACATGGGGGCTGTTTCAGATCTGGGAGTGGTGTAGGGGGAAGGTCTCAGCACCTCTTCCTGTGCTCCACAGTCCCAATCTGAATCAGCCCCTGTGTACCTGGGAACTGAATATGGCACTCCAAGCACACCTCTGATCAATGGGACCCTGTCACGGCTCAGGGGGTGTGTCACCTGATGCTGCCACCACTCTGGATTTAGGTTCCCTTGAGAAGGCCCAGAGCACCCTCCCAAGACCTTTTGGCCGAATAACAGGTGTGAGGACCAGGCAGAGTAAACAAGGAAAATAGTTTATTTTATAGGAGGTCAAACAAACAAGGTGCAGAATAATAACAGTAAGTGGGTGAAAAGAGAAGAAATCAAATGCCCTAACGCGTCTATATACACACTGTCCCTAGCTCACTATCTCAAGTGGCCTTAGACTACTCACCCCTCCCTCAGGATGAGGATCTCTCCCCTACAGCAGCCTCCCTTCCAGCTCTGCCCCCTGGGAGGAAGACCAGCTCTTCCTGCTGCTCCAGAACTTTTATTTCCAGCCCTCCTCTTTTCCTATTGGTCCATTTTGGCTCCAAAACCTCCCAAGGGCTTCTGGGAGTTGTAGGCCCAGCCTCACCTACTGCTAGCCAGGCTCCTTGGGCTTAGTAGGCCTCTGGTAGCACAGCCCAGATCATGACAGACCCGCTGAAGGCACGAGGGGAATGTAGGCCCCGGTCTCACTAGGGGGAAAGGCACGGCTGAGGTGCGGCTTTTTAGAGCCGCATCAAAAGGGAAGCGCGGCTGCGGGATCAGACAGATCCCCTCAGCCGCTGCGCACGTCGGCAATCGGACCCCCACCGGTGCCGTGCGGCAACCGGTAGGTAGTGCTGTTTTGCTACTACCTTTTTGAGCCGCGTCTTCGCCCGGAAGGGACAGATCGGGGACGGGTGCGCGCCGCTGTTGCAGTTTGATCATGCCTGCTTGATGTGACTCCGATCTGTCCCTCCCGCGGGGCAAATCCTCCCATGTGACTGGGGCCGTAATGTGGTGTTAGGCTCTATGAAGGATTTTGAATATGAGGAACAAATGGATTTACATTAATCTATCATGAAGAAAGTTTGAGGCCCAGCCTCACCTAAATTTCAAGTGTTAATCACCCAAAGAGTAATTAACACTTGGAATTCACAGCCACAGGAAGTGGTGGCGGCTACAAGCATGGACGGCTTCAAAAGGGAATTAGATAAGCATATGGAGCAGAGGTCCATCCGTGGCTATTAGCCACAAGGTATAGATAGGGGCTCTGGGGCAAGTGATGCTCTGTCTTCTTGGTGCTTGGGG